ATCCGGAAACATACTGTATAATATTAGTTATATTATATTATAGCAGTTATATATTATTATATTACTGCTATAATATACATAATTATATTATTATACAGGGTGAATATAAAGTATGGAACCAAGCGGTTTTATTTTTAATCATTTGCCTCCGGAAAATAATAATTAATATAAATTAAAGTAATATAAAAAATGTGATCGTAATTTCAGAACGAAATTTTGTTTTGTTTTTGAGTTATGCGATTTTTTGTTGTCAAAATTTCAGTTTATGTGAAAACATTTTTTTGAAAAAATTAAAAATAAAGCAGATAGTTGTAATCCTTAGAGTATAGCATTTATAAAAAAAATGATTTTATAGTGGGTTGCCATTTAAAAAAAATATTTTTTTTGTAGAACTCAAAAATAAAAGCAAATTTCGAAAAATTTTATTCTTGTTAAATCATCACATTTTTATAGTACTTTAGCCCTATTAATTAGTTTTTTCAAACAATAAATAGTTTAAGCAAAAAACGTTTGGTTCCATACTTTTTATTCACCTGGTATATTATTATTATGGCTTTAAATTTACCATCTTGGGTTTTTTGATTTGTTTAGAAGTAATAAAAATAAATATAAAAAAACGGAAGAAACTAGCTATTTGTCAATAAAATTAAAAGTAAATCACAAAAATTTTGTTAAGGTAATGGAATACATGGTCATGCATTTTTTTCTCTAAAATTTTCTTAGTGTCATTTTGCAAATTATTACAATCACCATTGAAGAAATTTTCAGAAAAAGACTGTTTTGAAGAAACGTGTATCCGGACCAACTTCCTAAATAAGGGTCTTTCGGCATATTACCTGCCGAACTAGTTAGTCTGGTGAATAGTTTTTTCCCCGAGTGTACCAAAAAACGTACCGCATTAAAGAAGACAACTTCATCGTCTGGATGGTAGAACAGGGGGGCTACATGCCCCGTCTGCTTGTCCCATTGCCCATGGAAGTCGTACGTCATCACAGCAACCCAATCTAGGTTCTGTGCCAGGACTGGAACATCGTACCCTGCATCTATCACAGTCTTGCTTGGAGAAACAGCAGCTGATAGAAGATAGCCTTTAGGTTTGAAGGCTTGCTTCAATTCGGTGACCCACGCAGCAAAGGCTTGTTTGTCCGAATCTGGGCCTTTTTTACAATCCACTTGCCAGCATTTCGGGTACTCCCAATCCAAATCAAGGCCGTCAAAGTTCCACTTTTCCAGAAATTCTAACACGTGTTTGATGAATCTGGCACGTGCGGCGGGGTTGTTGACCAAGCGGGAGTACTTGTCGCCTTGGGAGTCGTTCCAGCCACCCAAAGCAAGGGACACTTTGATTCCTTTCGCTTTGTAGCCAGTGACACGTTTGTAGAATTCTGGAATTAGAGTTTTATTTGAAGGAAGTACCACTAGAGGGTGATTACGGTTGTCGAAGTCGGCCCACGAGTCGTGCGCTTTAACTATCAAATTTTCGAAATCTAAAACGGCAAAACCGTAGACAATGTGGGTGCAGAGATCTGGGTCGATATCCTCTGGGATGTACCTTCCTAGGCCTTTCCGGTACCATGCCCAGTTTGTGAAATAGCAAACGATTTTAAAGTACCCAGATTGTGGCTTCAATTCTTCGGGAAGTGGTGGTTTTTCGGACGTTGGGGGGATGGGAGGGTGCCACTCCGTGGGTTGCCATTCCGGATAACTGGTGGTACTCCCCGGGTTCCAACTTGTACCACTTGTCACACTTGTAGTTTGCTCGGGTTTGGCAGTTGTCACAATATCCACAACATTGACGTTGCTGGTACCATCACAAGTGGCTTTCTCGGGCCAATCACAGATGTTTTTATTCTGAAAAAATTAATTAAGACATTAATTAACCTTAGGACTACCTTACATTATCCCAGTGTAAACCAGGGGCACAGTTAAACACTTCATATTTGCCCCAAAGACAATGCAAATATCGGGTACAATCCCCGGGGTACGCAGCAAAGGCATTTTCGCTACAAGCAGAGTATGGTTGTGGTCCCCCCATTTTGGGGAGTTGGTACTTCTGGGCCAGTTGTTTGCGACCAAGACATTTGACTTTGTACTTCCAGTCACACATGTGTTGTTCAGGGTTGTAGTGAAGTCCAGGGGCACAATTCTGTGGTACCAAGTGTCCATTAACACAAACGTAGAAGCTTGAACATGACTCATGTGGGTAGTACTGGCCTGAGTCACACTTATCATCAGTCAATTGTGACACGGTGGTACTATAAGTTGGCCTGGTTGTGGTACTAGTCGTGGTTTTAGTTTGCCAATGGTTGGTGGTACTCGGGGGTCGGTAGGACGGTTTTGTTGGTTTTTGCCACGAGGGAGTGCTAGGTTTATCAGCTGGAAATAAATTAGTAAGTACCAAACCTAAACCTTGTCCAGGTACACCCGGGGAAAAAACTAGTCACCAGTCTAACTTTGTACTCGGGCTGCGCTTTGTCGCAATAGCGTTTCAGACTAACTAGTTGGAGAGCAGGTAATATGTCGAAAAAGGCTTATTTAAGAAGTTGACCCGAAAAATGTGTTTTTGTGAAAATTACTTCAATGAGCATAGATTATAACGTACACATTAAATTGTGATTATAATAAACGAGCTTGCTCAAATTATCAAATTACAAATACATAAATTTATTAAAGAAATGTAGTTTGCAAGTATACAGTATGTTCCCGGATTAAGTTCTTTATCTACAGCTTTCAAAAATCAAGATTGTAGAACTAGTTTTAAATGCCAGAATCTTTTAATAAACTGTGAATTTTGCCAATTTCTATCAAATTATTTCTTCTATAATTAAAATTCTGAACTTAATAATACATTTTATAATAGCCAATCAAGAGGAAACAAATTTTTACCTTTGATTTTACGCTCAAAAAGTAAAGGAAATACTTTTTTTCTATAGCAGATGTTAAACTATTTCTTTATAAACTCTTTTGAGTAGATAAAGTAACACTTTAACAGCAAGTGTTGTTTTTGCTTTATTTCAAACGAGCAAATCTGTAATTAAAACTTCATTATTCTGACTCAGTAAAAAGAAAAGTTAATTTTTTTTCTTACTTTTGGACGATGTCACTTTGACAATTAATTAATTGAATAATGTTTGAGAGAGAAAAAAATTACACTAGTTTACACGATTTTTATACCTTAGCTGAAAGTCATAATTTCTTATAGATTTTGAGGCAGTGAGATCAAAAAAAACTATTTAAAAAAGTTCACCACGTTACGTTTAAGAAATATGTAATTAACAAAAATACAAAAACCGCCAAAGAACAAATTAAAAATGAGTTATTTTACTTGGTTTTATTATACTTTTTGGATCAGTTTTCTTTATAACAATCCAACAGTAATCTACTAACATATTTTCATCCCAAAAACCTTCGTGTCAATCTTTGAAAAACTTTCAGATTTTGATGAAAACGCTCGTCTCGTTGGTACTCATGCTCCCTAAATTTTTAGAAAAGAAGTTCAAATGCGAGTGAAATGTTTTTAAGACCTATTTAGACCCATATGGTAATAATTTTGCAATAATTCAGCAACAATTTGAATTTAAATAAATTTTAAATCAGAGGCATTTGTGCAGAAAGCAGAAAAATTATCGTCTGTAACAAAAAAGTGTGACGTGATAGAAAAATTTAACAATTATGTTTGTTTAATTAAAGGTAAGTTAACATAAAAATAATAATTCGATTAAAGGTATATTAAACATCTTATAGTTTGTAGACTATAGTATTATTAGTTACTACAAGCTGAAAATCAAAAAAAAAATTAAATTTTCTTTCCACTGAGCGAAAATAATGATCTTTTAAAGTTACAGACTGATTCCAGGTGAATCAAAAAATGTTTTTCTTTTGCAGTGTTAGTGTAAAATTAAAAATTAAAAATCCGGGGACATACTGTATAATATTAGTTATTATTATTATTATGGCATTAAATTTACCACTTTGGGTTTTTTGCTTTGTTTAGAAGTAATAAAAATAAATTAAAAAACGGAAGAAACTAAGTATTTGTAACAAAATTAAAAATCGCAAAAATTTTCTTAAGGTAATGAAATACATGGGCATGCATTTTTTTCTCTAAAATTTGCTTAGTGTCATTTTGCAATTTATTATAATCACCATTTAATAATCTATACCCGTGGAAGAAATTTTCAGAAAAAGACCGTTTTGAAGAAACATGTATCCCCGAGTCCGGACTAACTTCCTAAATAAGGGTCTTTCGCAGGGCCGTAACCAGGATTTTATTTCGGGGGGGTTTTTTTGTTGGTCTATGAAAATGAAATGAAAGAAGGCGGATTAAAAAGCAAAAATCTCTAAGTACACGTTTTTATTTTAAATTGAAATAAGAGATCCTAATTAAACATAAAAAAATAAAAAGTAACTCACAAAAGTAACAAAAAATAAAATAAATTTTTAATACTTTTTATTGTTATAAATTTAAACAGGAGATAGAATATTCATTTTTAGAACAAAAATTTTTTATGAACATATATCGAAAAATGCTACGCAAGGGGTGCGTCTTTTAATAGGTTTTTTTTTCAATATTTCCAAAATCATTTTAGAAAAAAAATTCAAACTTTGGTTCGATAACTTTTATTCACCTAAACAAGTACAAAAATAAAATGTTGAAATTTTTAATTAGGGGTTTCCTAAACTAGATGGGATTAGGGTAAAAATTTACTCTAACTATTTTGCCTGTGGTTTCTTGCCACTTTCAGTAAGAAAATTTCATAGTTTTTCATAAAAAAAGGTCTTTTGTGTTTTTCCGATACAATTTACGGATTTTTAGTAAAAATCGCTTTAAAAATTTATGTTACAGACCATAAAAATTAAAAATTAAATTTGTTTTACCGTTTAGGACGCCCCTGATTAAAAATTTAGTTATTTGGCATTTGTTTAGGTGTACATATAAAGGTACCAAATTTTGTAATTTTATCTATTCTGAAATATTAGGAAAAACCCTTTAAAAAACGTACCTTTTTTAGGGGGTGTAG